CACACACACACACACGCACGCACGCACGCACGCACACACACTCACTCTCTCTCACACACACTCACACTCAGATACACCCACTCACACTCGCACACAGACACACACTCACACTCACACTCACAGTTTGAGCAACACCACCACGAGTCAAGCACATGGGCCGTTCCTCTCACTTTGCACGAGACTAGACTCAGGATTGGTTGTCACAAGGGAACGCGCTGAATACCCAAAGACGATGTTATAACAAAAGAAAGAGACGAAGTAAGTGAAAGTTAGAAAAAGTAAGTGAGAGTGAGGAAAAGTAAATGAAAGTAAGAAAAAGTAAATGAAAGTAAGAAAAAAGTAAGTGAGAGTAAGAAAAAATATGCGAAAGTAATCTTAGGAGATTTGTAAAAATCCAAGTAAATGTTTATTCTTTTTTAAGATAAGAAAACAAAAGTTTAAAAACAAAACGAATTTTGATTTATATTTTTCTTTATTTTTAAAATTTTAATGAGAAGCGTGAAAACGCGAAAAGGGGTAAGAGAAAGATTTTCTTAAACGAGGACAGGACAAAATCGTTATTCTTCCAACAGATGGGCGTGAGTAAACACACGCACTAGGCCTAGCGCACATACTCACGCACGCACGCACGCAAGACCCGGGCTACGATCACAGGCCCGCTACACTACCACCAGCTGTGTGGGCTTAATCTGCGACACGAGGGCCGCCCCTACACCACCCGGGTCTCAAACCCCCGACCATTGATGATTTCTCCTCGCCAACTGATCGGATCGATTTTTTCTCTTTTGAATTTTGAGTTTCGCTTTGTGAAGCCGTGCTGCACATGCTGGATAGCCTGCTAGAGCTCGCCTGTTCAGACAAAGGAGACTGCCGTGTCTCAAACTTCTGCTCTCTTTGTCTTTCTCCTAACGGCAGTGGGTGAGTTCATAAAATCCCGTTATCAGATGTCCTGAACCGGTGACGAAACTCCTCAAGTCGTGAGAAAATAATTCCCAAACGGAGTTGCTCGCTCTCTCGTTGTTTTGGGTGCAGCTTTTTGGGAGTTTTCCGTTAAATATCCTCGTAGGCCTACACGGAACTTCGCTGACTTGCATCAAGCAGGATACTGTAGGCCTAGATCTAGATCCTTATCCGCTTTTGTGATTAGGTTTATTCTTAGTGATGTCTTACGAAATACAAGTTGTGGTTTTCTATTCTTTCATTTCTTGTTTTGTTGAAGTATTGGATTTGTTCTTTCAGGATTACAGAAATTCTCGGAGTATTTTCACCCGTCCGTTTTCTCTGCTACAAACCTACTAGGAGTGATCGGGACACAGCGCAGCATCTTTTGTGTCGACAAGAACTGTGTAACTCGAGGGAAAACGTGAAAAGGGAAGACCAACACACTTGGATATAATACTACTAGATTCTAGATCTACTACTACTACTATGGCTAAACCGAAGAATCTGGACAAGCTGATCCTGTCTGTGATCGCCACTGTGATATCGGTCACCGCCTGGTCACTCATCTTGGCGGGCTCGTTCGTGCCTCGGTGGGCACGTCCGCTCAACGTGAGTCACACTGACGCCAACACCACGTACAGCCTGTGGGGAAGGGAGGACTGTTACGGCGTCATCTGTACCACCGAGTATAGGTAGGACCACACTGCAACATAGTCTAGATCTAGATCTATCTCTTTTTTTTTCTTTTTTTTTG